GGCTTGTTTTACAACGTCGTTGCCAAGCGACGAAAACCCAACCCCGATGAGGTCATGAAAACAGGAAGCACAGCACAGAGGCCGAAGGCAATACAAAGGGCATACATAAAGGAGTATAGCATGTGTTGAATGGCAGACATTTTATATCTACACACCTACGGTACCACCCTATGACCTGCGGTAGACACTTTTTCCGTCCGTTGGTGAGGTAGGATATCATACGCCCTCCGTTCCGATTCCACAGCAGATCGTGTGGTGGTGCCAAAAAAATGTTGGCGTTGGAACCGCCTCACCGAAAACGCGAATGTCGTTTTTAAATTATACTTCATATATATTTTTTCGTCCTCTTCGTAGCTGGGGTAGCTTTGGATATCGGCCCAGGGGGTGTGATATCTTACGTCACCTATGGTGCTACGGTGGCAAGCGTAGCGAGACGAGGCAGCGAGAGCGTGGGGGAGTGACCTCGGTGGCCGGAACAGGCGGGGTCTGGGAGAGGACGGCGACGTGTGTACAAGTTATCTCATAATGTGCTTGAGGAAACTTGTTTTTTCGAGTTTCGAAGATGGCTCTTGCGGCGACGCCTTTTGGACATATGGCGGCGGGAGTTTCCCTGTTTGGGAAATGTTTTCCGCGAGCTTACCCCGCATGTGTATGTGTCGTGTCGCCAAAAATGCTCACGTGTAAAAAGCTACGACCCATTTTGCGGCTGCTTGTAGTTGCCGAAATCTCACGTATGACATACCGGCAATAACCCGGTTTCCTTGCGGCAGGCGTTTCGAGAATGTCGGTCCTTGGCTGTTTTCCTTTCTGTCTCGCTCCCTCCTCCTCCTCCTCCTCCTCCTCCTCTNCCTCTTCCTCCTCCTCCTCCTTCTCCTCCTCTTGTCTCGACGTTCCCTCCCTTCCAAATTTTCTTCTCTGTACCTCTCTCTCTCGCTTTGATGTACAACAGTTGCTGTCTCTGTCTCTCCGTCTCTTGCCTCCCCCCCCCCCCCCCCCCCCCCCCCCCCCCCCCCCCCCCCCCCCCCCCCCCCCCCCCCCCCCCCCCCCCCCCCCCCCCCCCCCCCCCCCCCCCCCC